CCATGCCTCTCGCGAAAGCAAAACCGTGTCTCTCGCGAAAGAAAAAAAAACAGAAAACGCGTTTTTTCCTTTCCGAAAGAGGCACGTCCGTGCCTCTCGTGAAAGCACAACCGTGCCTCTCGCGGAAGCAAAATCGTACCTCTCACGAAAGGAAAAAAATAGAAAACACGTTTTTTTTCGTTTCCAAGAGACACGGCTGTGCCTCTCGCGAAAGCACAACCGTGCCTCTCTCTAAAACAAAACCGTTACTCTCGCGAAAAAAATGTGTTTTAGTTATTATTTTCAAAAAAAAATTTGCTCGAAAAGCTAGGGAAGACCGGTAGAAAACCAAAACGTCAAAAAAACCAGAAAAAAAATGTTTAAAAAGCCGAAAACGCGTTCAGAAAAATAAAAAAACAAAATCCAAAAGGAGTGCCCCAGAGCGCGACACGTGGCAAATGGCTAAGAGCGCGCCAAGTGGCGCTGATCCTTGCGAGGCTCCCGAAGGAGCGCTCGTTAATTAGTTGCTCCGGGCTTTCTCCCGATTGTTTTAGCAGTAGAGACGTGCAAGGTAAATTTACCTCACAAGTCTTACGGTCCTTCTGTTCGACAGAGACATGCGTGAAGTAAATTTACCTCCGGACCTTTGTTCCTTACCTGGAGTGTGCCATCCGACGAGGGTGAGGAATAAGAATTCCTCACCTAAGGTGACCTCCCGCTATTCGTCACCCAGTGTAAGAAATAGTTATTCCTTACCCCAGCCAAACCACTTGCAGCACACCCAGACCACAAGAAAGAAGCAGCCGGGGAGGTAAAATTACGGCATAGAAAAATGAATCGGTCCTACACCAAACCACCTTAGGGAACAAAGATGCGAGGTAATTTTACAACCTCGGTGGGGTATGGAGACGAGAACCAAATCGGCTAACGGAAGTGGCCATAACAAAAAAAAAAAACTTGATGTAAAAATACCCGACGTACAGCTGGGATAGGAATCTACTGGAGTCATTCTGGACGTGCAATCTGCCTGGACCCACCCTATTAAATCCCTTCTTTTTTAGAACATCTCTTTCAAAATACGTACCTGCATGAGCTTTAGCTGCCGTACCACAGATTCCTCTCTATCATCTGTTTATAAAAGTCACCTAAAAAAATCTGTTTATATAAGTGAGAAAAAAAGATCTTCCGATCAACTCCCAGAGAAAGAACATAGTGGAGAGCGGCCGAGTCTCGTCTCTACTTTACATCATCCCTGATAAAAATAAGTTCTCTGATCCCGTTGCTCGGCCGGCCGATCCATTGAGAGGGAGCATTGTCATCTAAGAACCCAGCGCGGCAAGGACGTGTCACCATTCTTGATTGGAGGCGCTGCACGTGAGCATCCTGTCTCACCGTGAGAGGGCCGTGGTCGACGTCTGGGCAAGCAGCCATCGTGCTACTTGTTTATATTGTTTTTTTGTTTCTTTTTCCTCCTCCATTTTAGCTGAACAAGTTCACAATGTGTATGTTGCCTAGCTTCTCGGACCACAGGGACATCGCCCATGGCGGACCGGGAAATGGCTCGGCGTGCTTCTCCTCGCCACCCTTCTCGACAACGATGACTACTTATCGGCTAGTAGCAAAGA